GATGTTTTTAAAGGTTCTGAAAGCAAGTATGCACAGGTTTTTGTCCATGGTGGCCTGGCTAGTGCTAAAGGGTAAAGTTCTCCGGTAGATGGGGCATCACTCAGCCTACAATAGTGATGCCCCAGTTGATAACTTGGACCACAGGCACCGTGAAGGGCAGACAGGTAAGAATGTGTGGGAATGTGACAGAGATGGGTCTCTAAGGAAAGACAGAGAGGAGCAAACGGAAGAAGGCTTTGAGAGTCTACCTCACACTTCCTTGAATACATTGAAGCAGACAGTAGTGTCCACTCCTGGCAGCTCTCCCTGTGTCCAGGTCCCAAGGAAACCAGTGCCCGCTGTGTAAAGTGAGTCTGAAGGAATTGGGAAAAGGTGAGGAGGCAGGAATGGGGTGGGTGGATATAGTCCTGTTGAGTTGCCATGTTCGATCATTCTGGAGGCAGCCCAAACCCATTTAGCCCTCCAGTCTCTCCTTTCTGCTCAACTCTGGTTCTCACTTGTGCAGGCGTAGTGCTGCTTGTGGCTCTGAACAGCAGTCTCTGGTGCCCCAAATAAACTGGTCTGAATAACAGTCTTTGTACCTAATCAGAATTAACAAAAACTGACAATCCTTAGCAGCTACCTGTTGAAGAGTGGTGGACTCAGAATTTCCCAAACTGCCATCTCAGCCAAACAGCGTAGGGCACTCATTACTGATCCGGAGCCAGTGTCTAGCTTGTATGCACCCTTCTACCAGAAAATTCTTCAATTAAAGACTTCAAAAAAATAAGGCTGGCTTTATGTTGTTTCTCATTTATTAATTCAGTCTGTTCTAAGTTGTACAGTTATGAAAATAACAAAACCAAAGCTGGAAGCCCAGGAATATTTACACTCTCTCTTGTGTAGTGAGGTCAGTCTATGTTGTTGCACAGATTGGTTATGTTTGGTACCACAAAATGTTTATAATTCAGACAAAATTGGACAGATTAACAATCATAATATGTACAGTAAAATAAAAGGGGAAGTCATTCAAGTATCAAAATACAGAGACAAAGATTAAATAACATTTTTATTACAATTCAGTCCCGTTGCCAGACCATCAGCAACAACACTTCTGTGAACTGTGTCTGACAGCCATTCTTTAGGTTGGGCATCTCAGGCACCAGAAAAACTGGCTTTCTAATGTCTTGCTGGCTGCAGCGATGCTAGCTGCTCAAACCCAAGGCTTCTCAAGGAACTTGCATCAGGCTAGAGGTCTAAGGGGATAGTAAGCACTGCAGATGCACAACCTGTCAGGAAGACCCTGCTGCTGGGAACAGCTGGTAAGCAGAAGAGAAGAGGCCAGCCACGAGCCAGTGGGCAGTGCCGAGGAGTTTCCCACCTCAGTGAGCTCCTTCACAGTTCAGAAGCACAGCAGTGGAGCTGGCCACGAGGCGGGAGCTGCACTTGGAGAAGTGTGGAAACAGGAGCTTTTCCACTTGAAACCTGTCCTGTAAGTTACACAGTCCTTTCTCGGGGAGGGAGAGTTCCTGCCCCGGAGGACAACAAAAGAAAGAAAACCCACTCACTTTCCTTTCTTGAAGATTCAGAAATAAACCAATCTAAAGGAAAAAACAAAACAAAACCAATCTCAGAGTCAGAGCAGACTCCCCAAGGCTCTCCAATCTGAAAACACGGTGACTAAAGAAAGATATGCATGGGGGTCGCTTTGAGTCGGTTCCAAATCGATGGCACCTGACAACAACAACAGAAAGATACAGCAGCTTCAAGGGGGAAACACCTACCTATGAAAGAAACAAAACACCAGCTTGAACTCATCGTAGTGTCTACAGTTTCTTTTTGGACCTGCCACCTCCAACAGAGGCTGCTCAGACAAGAAAGCAGGAAGCGAGGGCACCATTCTACTAAGGATCACAGGTGCCCTGGTCAGAAAAGCAGGGACTGAACACTGCACTGACAAAGGAGGAGGCGGTGAAGTCAGACTTCAGGTGTCAAAGGCCTTGCTTAGTACCGAGAAGAGGAGCATGAGCTGCTACTCCTCCAGGGGGAGCTGAACCCCAGGTCCTGCAGTGCTGGAAACACACAAAGCCCGGCCTCAGGCCAGAGGGAGACAAGGCATGCTTCCCGTTTCTGGCTCAAGAGCAGCTCCCTATACACACGCTCACCAACATGGGGTTTCAACTCACAACTTTTGCCAGAAAGAGAAGTGTTGCTGAGACCTGGGACCAGACAAACTGTGTCAGACAGGGTGAGGTCTGCTCAAATACCCATGAAGAATCCGACCCTCTGTTACCTGTCCTGGAAGGTACTGGACAACCAGCTGCCTTGGCTCAGCCACTCAGTCACACAGCAATCAGCCCCTTTATTTCCACGATACCCGGGAAAAAAGACAAGTAAAGTTAAAAAGCAACGAAAGCCAGCAAGAAGGTTCAAGCAGCAGCAGAGTACCGAAGGTCAGCCTGCTGCCCCAAAGGCCACACCACACCAGGGACGAATCCAATCGACTGTCACCTTATTCACCCTTTGCTACCCTTGGAGCCAGGGATGAACAAGTGTATTTCAGCCCAGCAGCTGGGACTATAGTCAGTCCAGTAATTCTGAGAATCAAAATAACCCAAATCACACAGGCCTGATTAGACAAATCACAAATTGGCAGGTAGTACTGCCCATTAATGCCCAAAACAAAGCTGCTTTTTCTCCTTTCTTGACAACGCAGGCAGTGTGACCCATCAGAGAACTTGTGGCCAGCCCACTGGGGGCAGTGCACAGTCAAGGCAGGTCAGAGATGGGAAAGAGGCCCAGAGCTCCCAGCGGCCACTACAGACTACGCTGTGCCAGAAATGCCCTCTCATCTCCATGTGGCCACTAGACCTTCACATTTGGGACTCCAGAAATGGACTGGAAATCTCTGCTTGAGCTCAGGTGCCTCTCAGGCTGGGTTCTTACTGAAGAGGCTGTGTCCAGCTCTTGTTCAATTTGAAAAGAACAGCAACTAACTTGGTGGGGTTTGAATGTGGATTCTAACCAATCTCTTTAATTTGCCCCTGGAGCCTGCTTTTTCCAACTCACCCACAGGCCACTGCGTTCTCCTCAGACCTACCAGACCCTGCCAGGTGCCCATCCCAAGCACAGAAGGCGGGACAGACTACACTGGCCTTTTAGCCAATCTCAGTTCCCTGTCCTCTGGCCTTAAGGCCATTTGTCTCAAGATTGGCAGTTTGACTTAGAGGTTTAATCCAAGTGTTAAAAGTTCATTTTTTAAAAAATATTTTCTTTTTCTATTAAAAAACATGTTCTGAACAAGTTGCTTCTTGGCTCTCTGGAGGTCATCTCGTCTTCTAGAGGCCTGGAGTGCTGCTCTGCAGCCAGGGCAAGGCTGTCTGCAGACCTGGCAGTGCAGGCTCAGGCCCGGAGCGAGAGGGGATCCTGCAGGCAGAGTGTGTGGGCCTGGGTCTTCAAAGCTGCAGGGAGATGGTGGTGGTGGGGAAGCCTGTGCCCCCACAGTTATGTTTCCACAGCATAGTCTGGTGGTTCCTCAGTGGCTCAGCTTGGCAGAAGCAAACACAACGGGGGGGGAGGAAAGGATTAACCAAATGGGATGACACAAAGTGGAGGAGAAGAAATAAAAGGAGACATAGAAGCAGAATGAAAGTCCCCACAGCCTCCCATGAGTGCCTTGCATGGCCGTGCCCAATGCCAATTCAGACTCAGAATGTCCGGTCTGAAGGCACACAGACAGATGGACAGGCAGGAGGACCCAGCTTGGTTTGTCAACTTGGCTTTAAACTCTAAATGATTATAACTTACTGGCTTTTCTACTGGGCTTTGCCCATTTACACTGCTTTCTACTGGAATCGCTTCTTTCCTGTCTCCTGCCCACTACGCTGACTCGTCCACAATAGAGAACAGAGGGCTTCTACAGACTCAACTCTGGGATCCCAGCCACTGAACTGCTTTACAGACTGTGCATCCTCTCCTCTCAGAGGGGCTGGGAGGCCCAGGGAGGCTGACCAGGGGAAAGATTGATGAGTGCTGACTACATTTCCTCCCCACACTGTGGAGGAGTGTCAGAAAGGTCTGGAGAACCGAAGTCCCTGGGTCCAGGTCCCTGTCCTATAGCAGCTCCATTCTGTAAGTAAGGGAGGAGGTGCACCATGAGTGCATGGTACAGGCTTCACGCTTCCTCCTCAGCCAGGCCCGGGCTTCTACACTTGCTGGACAGGAGGGGCTGGAATATGCCATCCCATTGCCTGGAGTGGAAGAACCAAACAGTCTGCTGAAGGGAGCAAACCTGTGAATGTTGAGATGCTCAGAGCCCCATTCTTTAGAGTCAGGCAAGTGTCTGAGGGCCTGGCCCATACCTTGGGCCCTCACAGAAAGCAGTCAGGCCCTGGCCAAACCACATCATTGGGCCCACCATCTCAGAGGGGCCTGACCATGAGAGAGAGGCCAGCACCTCAGAGCAAACGAGAGAGGGACAGGGCTGCAGCCAGCTGTGGGCAAAGGAGAAGGGGCTCTGGCACTGGGTGGTCACAGTGGTTGGTTGTGTCAGGAAAGGTGAGTGCAGACAAATCTTGGCAGCTGCACCCAGCTGTGGCTCAGTATAGAAGCGCAGGAAGAGGAGAGCCAACAGACAAGGCCCAGCCCAACTCAGTAGGAGTCATTCCTGGTGCTGTTTGGATTCTGCTCGAAGGCTGCCTCGCCCCCTTCAGATTCACAGTGCCGGCCTGCAGAGGCTCCCTGGGCAACAGCAGAACCCCTCAGCCCTCTTGGCGCCCACCTCAAAGGCAACTCACCCCCCCACAAGCTGTCCTCAGCCCTAGGAGGAGCATTCACAGTGTTCGGTGGTATTAGGTACGAGAGCTGTTAGTGGACAGTGTCTAGAACTGCTGCCCAGGAGGAAAGCAGGCCCCACTAGGGGTGGGGCCTTGGCGTCAGCAGCTGGAAGGAGAGAGTTGAGAAGAGCAGAAAGGTCGATGGCAAAGGCACAGTGAGACTAGTGGAGACAGGGAGTGGTGGTATTAGAAGATAGTGGTCTCATACTTGGTGCTGAGGCTCCGCTTAGAGTCTGGTTTGGGGTCCACCACCCAGGAGACACTGGCATGAGATTGGGCATCTTGATCCACATCAGGTGGCTCCAGCTGCCAAACATGGAAAAACGGCAGAGTCAGAGAGTGAGTTCTGAGCTAGGACCGGGTGCAAGCAGGGCCCAGCATGTCCATCCACCTCCCGACCCAGGCCAGGCCTATAGCCAATGGCAAGCTGCCCTTAGTCTGCTCAGCCAAAGAATAAGCCCACCAAGTGAAAGAGGGCTGACATTCCTCCAGGAGTACCTTGGAGCAGCCCCTACCTCGGACCTCCACCAGGGACAAAATCTTCTCCCAGGGATTTCTAAAATATTGCTTAGTTAAAAGAGCAGCTGCTCTACCCAAGCCTCCTGCTCTAAGGGGGGACATGGAGCTGGGAGCTGTAAGCCTCAGGTGCCTCTGGTGGGGCCAGAGAGCTCAACCTGAGGCAAGACCCCAGCAGTCATCCCAGACCACTGGGGAAAAACACACAGCAGAAAGACAGAGAGGAAGCACAGACAGGCATGGGCGGGAGGACATCTTGGGGAAGAATGCCACTCGGGTCAGAAAGAGCTCACGGTCACTGTGGGGAGACTGACACACAGACAGCAGGAGGTGTAAGGACCTTGACTCCAGAACTAACAGACGGCAGCGGAAGGTAAGAAGGACGATGGGTGGTGCAGGTGTGACAGTAACAACAGCGACTATCAGGGGGTAGCGGCACCTGGGGTGCAGAGCAAAGCAGACACAGACACAAGGACGACGTTATGGGGGCTCAAAATGGGGTCACACTCTCTGCAGCCTCATGATGGCCTGGCCCTGCCTGGGCTGAGTCTGGCAAGGAGGGGACAACTGCCCACCACACATTTGAGGGGCTGGGCTGCTGCCTTCCCAGGGTGAGGGCTTCAGAGGTGGGTAACCAATTACAAGGGCTGCTCTCGAGGGGCCAGTTCTCTGCAAGTTGTGCCCAACTCCACCCTAAGCCCTCAAACCCCAGGGCCAGGGGAGGTGGGACCACGTACTGCTGACTTCCTCATGCCGATCCGAGGCTTAGGCACCGGCTTGGAAGATTTCGTTTCAATCATCTCAGCTGCAGAGGCCCCCATCGGCCTGGACTTCTGGGCTTGCAAGGCCAGCTGATAGGCCACCTCAAATGCTTGTCCCAGTGTCAGGATGATCTCATACGTCAGATTCTGGGAGAAAGAGAGCACAATTCTAGCAGATGGGCTTTACGGGAGGTTGCTTTGTTCTCCTCTACACCCTGCCATATTGCCATACCCACACACAGAGCACAGGCATGGGCTGCATGCACCTGGACAGGTAATGAGTAAGTGCAGTTAATTCTGTTCGAACACTTATTTTGAAAGCAAAAACTTGTTCCAACATAACTGACCCACTAGGGAATGATGTGAGCATTACACCCAGTTCATCTCTTCAGGCTGGAGCTGAGACACTCTAGGGGAATGCAGCAACTGCACTGCAGAGCCCCTGGGAACCCCCACCATGCACCCCCAAGGACCAGGAGCCACACCTGTCACATCTGGGTCTACCCCTTCAAAATTCTCACAAGCCCTTTTGGTGGCCTCCCCACCTGAAAGTCTCCCTCTTCTCTAATAGTCAAGCTCTATTTTCCTCTGCTCTCCTTTCTGTCTCCATCACATACAGGGGATGGTCACACTGGGTATATAGCTTTACAAGCAAACTTCATGTCTTTTCCAGTAAAGAGTCATATTTATTAACTATTTAACATGAATAAAATGGCAATTTAAAATTTAGTTCCTTAAATTTTAAAACTGTGTCACTGACAGAGTTTCTTGAATGTTGTGCTCCTAACCCCCATTCCTAGGGTTCTTAGTGTGAGATTCTACAAAGCGTGGTATTGTTTAGGACCACATGTGTGGTGTTGCAGTGAACTGACTACACATGGAAATTGTGAGCTCTGGGTACGTGTCAAGAACTATGAGCTGTGTGTGAAGCACCCCATTTAATCTTCCAAAGAACCCCAGTGGGTCCTATAATAAATGGAGTGCCATTCAACCAATCCCTAGGGACCCACTAGGGTTGCTGTGATACTTAACAACCAAAACACGTAACCCTAAAGGACAGAGCACTGCTGCCCCCAAGAGGGAAGCAGGGGCTTTGAGGAGACCACCTGAGGGTTGCTGAAAAACTGGAAGGCCTGAACAAGATGGATGGACACAGTGGCTGCAACAATGGACTTCAACATGGGAATAACCAGGAGGATGGCACGGGGCCACACAGGGTTTTGTTCTATTGTGCCCAGCGTCACTGATGGCAGCCACCTGAAGGCCTGGGAACTGGAGCAGCAGGAGCCTGGGGGACAGGCCTGACCTTGGGAGGCTGGGCTAGGAGCTGGACAACCTGGACCTACCATACCCCGTCTGCGCTTTGTCCCATCGCTGCATGGAGAGAAACTGAATTCAATAATTGCTGAGGCTTCGCTGCTAAGTGCCAACCGTGTGCCAGGCCAGCTCTGCAATGAGGTCATCTTAGACACAGGACCCACTCAGTCTGTGCCCCGCCCTATCAGGACAGACCCCTCCCACGATTTGTAGACTCTGCTGCAGGGGGAGTGCACCTACCACATCCACTGTGCTGAACACATGGCAATAGTGGTGACTGGTCTGCAGGTCCTTGGTGATGTAGGCAAAGGTGCAGAGGTCCTCTGGGTCCTGGGCCGCACAGGAAATGTTTCGGATCTCATGCTCCGCGATGACATTCTGCAGGGAAAAGCAGTGTTTCTCTGGCTCCCCACTCCCTCAGGCTTGCCTCTGATGCCACTGCCTAAGCCTTTCACTGTAGCAATCATCTGAACACTACTTCTTCTTTTCCTTGCTTTTTTCAATGGGTAGATGGCAGTGTCCAACCTTGCTTGATTTAAATTTGGGGTCTGCACACCCTTGACCTTGGCAACAAAATGTTCTCCAAGCCCTTCCACCTTCTGAGAGTGGGGGGGGTGGAACGATGGAAAGTTCTCAGAAGGGGAGACCTCTGCTCAGTCAGCAAGCAGTGCCCTTGAAGGGGTGTGTGAGGGGTGGCAGTCCTGCATTGGCTGTGGGTGGGCTGGAGGCAGGGGCCGGGGAAAGAGAGACTTGAACAGATCAGAGATAAGTACTTGGGTTAGCTGGTGGGAATGGAGAGTCACAAGAGGGTTGGGGGGCAGCTGACTGGAGATGAGGGTGGAGAAAGAGCATCAAGGTCACTTGCCCTGGAGCCCTTAGCTGATAGGGAAATGGATCTCACTCCTAGCAACAGTTCTTGTGAGAAACACACCTTGTTAGAGGCATCGATGAACTTGACCCCTTTGTATGTGATGGACAGGATGATGGTGGGGGTCTTCTTCATGTGCTCAGTGGATTTCTATAGGAAACAAAGGGTGGCCCTGTGAGCGTCCCTTCTCAGGGTGAAGCCCACTGGCATTCCATAGTCCCAGCCTCTTTCCCGTCTTTTCACAAACGGTTACAGCTGCTTTTCTCATTTGCTATCCACCCCTGTCCCACACAACAGACAACCTACTCGCATCTTGGCACAGGCATCTTGTGTGGATTCTGTCCCTCGCAGATCTTTGATCAGCATGGAACCCAGGTACTGTGGGGTGAGCAGTGGCTAAATTTAGGTCACAGGTGTGGCCCACCAATCCCAGCCTATCCACAATCAGGGAGTTAACCTCTCTCCATAATCCCTTTCTCCTGACAGGAATGGGTTGTTGTTGTTGTTGTTAAGTGCCATTGAGTCGGGTCCGACCCATAGCACAGGAATGGGTAAGCCCTCTTTTTTCCTCGAATCCTCCACCCTTTCCCCTTAACTGCTGGGACAGTCTGAAGAGCAGAGAGCTGCACCAGAGCCCTGGGCCTCATGTGGTGGAAGGTGTCCAGAGTCCACTGGGCCTCAGGGCTGTGTGTGCCCAGCCAGGATGGGGAGGCTGGCAACGCAGGGAGGGTAGGAGCAACTCACATTGGCTTCATATCCACAGGACTCGAAGATGAGTTTCTCTGGCTGGTGCTGCCAGCTTTGCACAGGAGCGTAGGGGGCAGCCAGGCTTGGCGGGCGGAGGGTCAGCTTGGCCTCGTGGTGCTCCTCCTGTACAGAACATGAAGTCAAGCCCGTTCACCCTCTGAAAGAGGAGCTCCTGAGGCAAAGCAGCCAGTGTTTTTAAAGAGTTCAAGGCTGGGCTAGGGGGCAAGGAGGCGGGCCAGCAGCTCTATGCAACAGAGGTGCCACCTATGCCAGGGTAAAGGGCAGCGGCTACTGACTGGAGAGGCAGAAACCAAACCTCCAAGAGGAAGGGCTCTGTCAGAAAGGGCTCAGCAGGTTAAGTGGCCTCTGAAGTGAGTCTTACAGGAAATGGGGAAATTAGCCCACCCAGAGATGGGGGAGAGAGCAGTGTGAGTGTGGAGAAGCACAGGCTGGTGGAGGCTGCTCCAGCAGAAAGGATGAAGATAGAAACACAGGAGCCAGGCCCTGGAAGCCTCCTCTACGGGCCTTGGAGCTGATCCGTTGGTTGGGAAGTCAGGGATGATTGTAAATGGATCCTTCTGGCAATAGCTGTGGGGGCCCAGAGGGCCAGTGTAGATCAGTGAGAGAATATGGGGTCTTAATTAGGACCCTGGTAGAAAGAACATAGAGGAGAGAACAGACATCCTTTCCAGCAATATGCACAGATTGTTAAAGTATAAGCAAGTCAACTGCTGGACTAACATGTTTTCCAAATCTTTTTTTAAAATTCAAGAGTGTGCTTGTAGAAAGGTAAGGGAGATTTCTTAGAGGGCAGCAATGACAAACGTGAATCAGGGGAGAAAAAGCAAGACTGACGCTAAAAGTTCCCCTGGGAACTTGGGGGCCACCTGCCATTGTGTCTAATAGGCCAAGATGGGGGACCTAAGTCGAAGCCTGGGTCTGGACAAGGCAGGAGGGAGGACAGCAAGTCCTGAAGAAATCTGGAAGCAATGCTCTGAGGGTGAGTGAGGAATGAGAGGGCAAGGTACCAAGGTCCAGCTGAGGCTGGCAAACATGGAATGGGCTGGTCCTATCTACATGAACGTGAGCTTGTCTAAAGCTGTGCCACCACTGAGCCACAGCAACAGAAAGAGGACGAGAGTCTGAGCTGGGCTGTAGCTTTGCTGAGCAGGAGTTGCAGAGGCTTTGGAGCTGAAGAGGCTGACTGGAAGGGAAATAGCTCTGGGGAACAACCAGGGTAAGAGACAAAGGGTGACCAGGAGAGAGCTTGAGAGACTGGAAGAACACAGGATGGTGAGGTGTGTCTCTGGACAAACAAGGGCCTGAGGCAGCTTGGATAGTCAGCCTGGTGGCGCTCAGTGTCTGACGTTGCAGGGGAGGTCCTAGCAGCTGAGAACTAAAGGGATGCATGCAGCCAATGTACCAGGAGGCTAGGGTGGGACGTGAGTTTAGGAGGTGGGTGTTTTCTTCATGGCCCATGATGCCAGCCCAGCAGTGCTCAGGGCACCAGGGTCTACAGCTGGATCTGGGAAGGAATGGGGTGGACACATACTGCCGCTATCCTCTTATCACACCTGGATTCTGAAGCGCTCTGCTCGTGAGTGTGCCCCAGGCTCATGGAGACTGTCGTGCCGCCTCCTGCCTGTGTCCCCAGGAGGCAACAGCAGGTCTGCTGATCGCCCAGTACAGGAATCATTCTGGCTCAGGGGGGATGACGTCTGGGAGAGCAAGTCTTGACACTGGAGTGGGGAAAGAACCAGGAGATACTTGGCTCACATCTGCCCAGCCCCAGGCAGCAGGAGCAGGGAGATGTGTTAGTGTTGGCCGGCAGCGCAGAGCTAAGATGAATGGTGTGAGGGCCCAAAGCCGAAGTGCCTGGTTACAATCAAAACAAGCAAATTTCCTGGAGCTCAGATCCGACCTGCCAGCCTGCTGGGCACATCCACCACCAGCGCCCACACTTCACTAGTGCTCTCCCTTTGGGTCACAACCATAGAGAAGAGTGGATACAGGGCCAAATTTATCAAAGATAAAATCATCGGTCATAATCCATATCACACATCTCTGGTGCTCACGAACAAATCCAAAGCTCTTTCTCAAGAAAACACTTAGCCCTGAGGCCAACTGCCATGCAGAGAAGACAAATCTGTCTCCACAGATTTCATATTTGAATGTCAGCCAGGCAATTGGCTCCCAGGACATGTCAGGATCTCAGCTTTTTCATGTATCTCCTAGAGGGAAAAAACTAGGCCCCCTTTCTCAGGTTGCTGGCCAAGTGAATTAACTTAGGCACTCACCGCCTGGAGCTTACCAAGTTGAAGTCATAGTTGTAGTTAGGGGTGACCTGACTCAAAAACAAATCACCTGTGCACATTTCCCATGTCACTCTGCCCCAGGTATTTTAAATTAGGAAGCTCTGGGAGTGCTCATGGAGGTGCAATGGTTAAGCACTCAGCTGTTAACTGGGGGATTCAAACCCACCCAGTGGGTTCATGGCAGGGATCAGCCAAGAAAACCTTGTGGGGCAGTTCTACTGTCACAGAGGGTCACTATGAGCTGGAATTGAATTGGTGGCCCCCAACAACGCCCCAACTGGCTGAAGCCTCGCTGTGTACTCACTCCAGGCTTCGCCACCAGGGGGCCTCCTGAGCGCCACACACTAACTGCAACGAGTTACACCTGTGCTTCTGGTAGTTTTGTTTTCCTATTGCTTCCAAAATTTTTACTTATTTAAACTGATCTTTTATCATAGGGTATCTCCAATTTCTTTGAATGCAGGTGGGAGATATGTAAATTATAAATAGCCGGCTAAAAAAACTCTCTTTTGGCCCCAATTAGTGCCTGGGGCAGGCTTGCATTCTCCCTCACAGCAGTCCCACTGTCTCAGAAGCAGGCTCCTAATGGTTCAAAACACACCACACACAGCCCTTTTTCTTACTCCCCAACTCACTCTCAGCTGGGAAAACCTTGGGGGCTTCTGAGGGGGCTCCTCATAGGGCCTGTCTGCCAGGGAGGCGATGATCCGCTTTCGATGACCCAGTAGGTGGACCTTTAGGACCTGGGAGTATAGAGGGGAGGGAGGGAGGAGATGTCAGGCTCACAGCCTGCCCCCAGGGGCAGCACACACATAGGGCCCAGGTTGGGTAGGGCCCAGGTTGGGTTCGGCAGAGGCTGCACTCACGTTGACAAGCTCCAGCTCCCAGAGGTTCTTCACAGTGTCCAGTGAGCTATAGCCGCTGGACAGGAAAGAATGGACGTAGTCCTGCAGCCCCAAGGAGTCCAGCCAGGAGGGCATGGATGGGGGGCTGTTCCCATCATAGCCCAGCGCCTTTACCTGTGGGTCCAGGAGGGGAGATGGGGGCTGAGCTCACACTCAAGGACAATTACTCCCACGGCAGCTCAGGCCTACCCACACAGACCACAGTGGAGACTAGAGAGGTGCGAGGCAAGGTGGCCTGAGGAGGGCCAAGGAGGAGCTCTGCTGGGCCTGGCATCCTGAGCAGCCTAGTGGGCCCAACTGAGAATAGATGGGAGGAGAACTTTCAGAATGCCCACACCCTGTGCTCTGATTTCTGATGAAGTCAAGGACGGGGTGGGGGTGAGGGGAGGGGAAGAAAAACGGGTGTGACTGTGAAGCACGTGTGGTGTTGGCTTCTCATCTGGGACTTGTGTTTCTTGAGCACTGGACTTGGCACCAGCACGATTCGGAGGGACTCACAGCCACCAGCCCCTGGCTCCCCAGAAATTATGGTGCTTCCTCCATGTTGCCCCAGGGGCCTCCTGGCCTACCTGTGTGGGGCTAGGCTTGAACTGAGGAGTTAAAGACAGGGCTCTACACAATTAGCCAGAGTCAGGAAAGACCACACAGGCACTCCAAGTGGCAGACGGAGTCTGTACGCATCCGTATAGGATGGACAGACCTTGGAACCCGAAGAGGTTGCGAGGCCCTCTTATCCTCCTTCCTGGCTCTGGTTCTTACTGCCCCTGGTGTTGATCCTACAGGGACATCTCAAAGAGAAATCTATGCTGGCCCAGCTGGGACTCCTAGGATTCAGGGCCCCTCTTCCCCGCATCTGTTCTCTCTGGGGCTCTGGCAAAAGCTGACATTGCAGAGCTCTCAGTAGTCACCTTGGGCAGGGACCGTGCAGCCTGGAGCAACTTCCGTCGATGCTGGGGATCACTGATGCCAATGTCCCGCAGGTCCTGCTCTTCCATCACGTTAGACCCCTGAGAGCACAAAGAAGACATTAGGGTCCCTCAAAGCCAGTCTTTTTTGTCCCCTCTCCAAATTATTTTACTTCACCTCAGGAGGAGACCAGCTCAGCCCAGCATGGAGTCTTGTGCAAGCAGGAGACCATGGTAAAGAGTCGACCTGCTGCCTAGACTGCCCCTTCCCACCACCCAGTGGCTCTCAGGTGAGCTGGGCTGAGGAAGGTGCACACAGCGTTGCCCTGGCCATATTCTCCAGGGCATTAGCCCACCTCTGAGTGTATATACATTTTCTGGGGAGCAGGCCCGTGACCTCCAAGAGTAGGAACTGGTGGACCAATCCCAACATTCCTCATAGACAGAATTTTCTAATTCAAGGCTGAAACCACTACCTCAGGTGGGCAGTTGATGGCAGAGGCAGATAGCCAAGGAGCCAGTCTCACCCCAAGGATAGGCAGTGAGATCAATTCTTGGTTTTGCCACATCCCTCAGCCACAAAACCCAAGATACAACACCCCCAGCCCACGCCCCAGCCTGTCATCTCTCTCTCTCACATCCCTCCAGTGCTAGGTAGGCATGTGCCTGCATACTGCTTTTCCACAGAGTTTAATTCTGAACACCTGAGGTGTCTAGCAGATGGCTCCACGTCAGCACACGGAGACCTGCCCCTTTTCTACACTGCACATCTTCCAGGTCATGGGTATCATGTCAGGTGTGTTCTGTCAAAGGGCATTTGCTCCCAATTTCTGCTATCCAGGTGCCATCCGGTGCTGCATGCATGGCTCTGCATGTGTATCATTTCTAGGTAGTCCAGAAAAGAATTTTCTTGGTCAAAGAATATGTACGATTAAAACCTTCACAGATTTCTATTCTCATCAGTGACGTGAGTGCTAAATTCCATATACTGTCCGCAACATTATGGAGAAATGGTGCAGCATGGACATTTCAATCTGTCCATTTTTTATGTACCACTGGTGAGGTTGAACATTTTTTCATACTTATCAAACTTATCCTCCCTCCCCCATGTTCTATATGGCTTTACATATTATCAGAGGGGCTTTAAAACGTTCATGGAAAATGGAGTTAAAAGGTAACAGAATTTTTCCAGTAACTTTGGGAAGCCCCCATGTTTGTGAACCCTTCTGATAACAAGGACTATTATTATACCCATTTTACAGTCTAGGGACTTGAGGCCCAGAGATTGTAAGTGTAAGCTAGCGTGGCGCCAGAATTCAAGGTGATGCTCCTGTAGAATCTCTCATGCGTGTGTGGGGCATGGGGCAGTTGGGTGGGGGCATCTGTAAGTTTCTTTACTAGAATTGTTCACTTATAATTTCTACCTGTTTTATTATATGGTTGTAGTCTTTTTTGCATTGATTTGTAGGAATTCTTTATATAGTAAATTAACTTTTTATCTATGAAATGAATTACACATTTATTTTTCCAGTTTGGCATTTATCCTTTGATTTTTATGTTGGCTTTGTTCATGAGGAAACTTATTTTTATGGATCTGAATGCGTCCAACTTTTCTTGCAATGCTTCTAAGTTTTGTCAGGCTAAGGAAGCCCTAAGGGGCTCTGGTAGTATAGTGGTAACAAGTCAGGCTGCTAACCTCAAAAGTCAGCAGTTTGAAACTACCAGCTGTTCCATGGGAGAAAGATGAGGCTTTCTGCTCCTGTAAAAATTACAGCCTTGGAAACCCTATGCAGGGTCATCACTGAGAGTCAGAACCAACATGAAGACACTTAACAAGAAGGAAGTGTTGACCCCGTCACGATTATTTTTTAAATTCTCCCATATTATCTCTGTAATTTGACAGTTTTGTGTTCATAATGCAATGTATGTTGTTATTAAGTGCTGTCAAGTTGGTTCCAACCCATAGCGACCCTGTATAGGGTTTCCTAGGAGCAACTAGTGAGCCTGAAGTGCTGACCTTGTGGTTCAAACCAACTTTGCAGTTCAGCGCATTAACCTGCAATGCCACACCAGGACTCCAGCGCAATCTATAAGCTCCCGGAAGTTACCTTGATATAAGGTTAAAGAGCAAGTGGTCCATTTCTTGACTCTTCTGTACTTTCCCGCTAATCTGAGATACTGCTGTTAATGTGTCCTAAGTTCCTGTATTTTTCGGGAACTCTTTCTGGACTTTATTCCATTGAGGAGAATATATTTACCTTGGCTTCACAGATGGAAAAGCTAAGTAACCTGAGCTAGCTCATAAATCATTAGCTGGTAGGACCCACTAAAGATACCCTCAAAGCCTTCATCTCAAAAGAGCCCAGGTGAACTCAATATGCTATTTATATAAAGCAATAAATATGAAATATTTGAGCACATTTTTATCAAAATAGAAAAATAACTAAAAAAAAAAAAGTTTCAGGTACCTGACGTACAGATAAACTTATAAAACCGATGCACACAATTTCTGACACTATCACATGCTGGGGTGATTTAGGAGGCAAACACGAGTTTTGCATTTTGACTACTTAAATTCCTGGGACTGAAAATACCAAAATAATTTTGCTTCGCTTATGACTATACATCAGTGTAGTAATGCCTGGAGACCTTCGGGCTCACAGGAGCTAGATGGTACCTTTCTGAACGTGTCTAGTGGTTGAAGTAAAAACCGTACCCAAGAGGGGTGAAAAATCAAACATAGTAATTTAAAAAAAAAAAAGCTTACAAAAATGTTAAAATGAAGCAAATTTACCTTATTTTGTTGAGGGATTTTTTGCCAATGAGAACAGATTTTAAACACTAAGTTTAGAAATTTTCTTTATAGACTGTTTTAAAAATTATTTTCAGTAAACCTATCCTTTAAGATCTTGGGATCTTTTGGTATTTTTTAGTTGTAGTACTATGTCAATACTTGCTTCTGTTGGTTATAAGTTGAAGATTTAGCATTATGACTTTGAGGTTTGTAGTTTTATTTGAAAACTTACAATTGCTATTTTACAGGGGAAGATGTATTTCTTTATTAAATAAAGTAAAATAATGATGAATATATCAATGATAGACCTGCATTTTCATCTAAAGTTCACTATTAGATTTCACATGCTGATTACAGATCAATGTGAACTATTGTTGATACAGATCATTGGAGAATGTTCATGGAATGTCTTTTTTAGGATAGGATGACTATCTCTAGTTAAACTAGGCTAAGTAGTTCAACGGGCTTAAGCTATCAAAGTCATTAAAAGATCTAAATGAACAATAAGGATCTCAGTGATCAAAAAGATTTTCGTTTTTGGCCTTGAACAGATTATTGACCTTGCTAGATCTCTAGACTCTGAACCTAAAATATAAAAATAATTTGAAGATACTGGCAAGGAAAGTTAGGATATATATTTAGTATGTTTTTGGCACTATTTCTTTTTAAAACGTGAAAGCAAATTGTCCTAGTATGCTTTTGAAAATATACCTTTTCAATTCTGAAAATGTGACAGAACAAAATAAGTAGTGAAATACGATATTAAATGTTGATTATTAGGTTAAGCTTAATTCTTTTAGGATTTATTTAAACTATACCATTCAGAAGGGTAGGCTGAACAGTAGAGATGACAATTGGAATTGTAACCTTTTTGTTTTGAAAAGGCATCCCAGAAATCCTGGGCCAGAGAGTGTGGCCTGTTAAAGCAATGAAGCGCAAGATAGATTTGTTACAGACAAATGTGTTTGTGCATCTACAAATCAGACAGCAATTTTTCAAATAATATAAATGTAATATACTAATTTTCTTTTAAAGGTACTTGGGCATAATCTAACGCTGCCAAAATGTTTGATCATGAAAAATATAACTGTTCTGAGGATTAATTTTGCAACTTGTAGAACCAAAGGAAATATTTTAGTGTTTTAAACTATCTTCTCAACAGCAGTTTCTTAAATACAGTGCTTTTGGTAAGATGAAACTCAGTTGTCTTGCAATCTGTGCCAATCATAAAATGGATGAATGCAAAAACACCTTGTAAAATTTCATATGATATTAAAATTCAGTTTACTGGACTATTGGCCTAATAAGAATGCTAGTACATACTGGTTAGACTACATCTAATACTTCACATTTAAGAAACAGCACTTACTTCAATTTTTAATTTTAACATGGAGCCTAGATTAGTTTGCCAAGTAAATGTATTATTTTCATAATGCAATAAAACATCAATTAGAAGAGAAAGGAGAGAGAGATAGAGCCACGTGAAAATGATTCTGGGAGGGGACTGCTCTGAAGCCAGGTGGGAAGTCCCTCTCTAGTTGGGCTGCAGAGCAGGCACCACTCCTGCATCCTACCTGAGTCACTCCGTCACACCGAGTACCCACAGACCCTAAGTCTAGGGTCAGGCCACTTGCCCAGACCTTGTGCCTGATGATGACAACACCTAAGCGAGGAACTGAATGGACGCAAACAGTGAGCCTCAAAGAGGGAGGGATCGCAGGGAGTGTTCAGGACTCTTAGTGCAAAGTGCAAGTCAAAGCATTTACTCAGGAAGACTTCATTAGCTTTTAGGGCCACACTAATGCTGACCTGGAGGTTCACCAAGAAAACCATATCCAATTAGAGAGAGGAGGGCTTTCCTAACTATGCTCCCAATCTTTAGAACTGGGGGCTGTGTACAACTTTGAGGAGAAAGGAAAATTAAAACCAAACCAAAGGATGTGATGGAAAATCAAAGCAACCAGTTATCAGAGCGTGTCCTGGGTATGGCGCAGGTTTCCTCCTGATTTCTACAGGTTAGGGGATCAGGTGACATGGAGACTACGAGATGTTATAAATCTTCAAAGGGCAAGACACAGTTGTGGAAGTTACTACATGCTCTTTATTAAGGGAGAGAGCTCCTGACGAGAGGGGTTGAGGGGTAGGGAGGGACTTTCAACTTTACCTTCTATCACACTTGAGAGCCTATTATAGGCCAGGCACTGTTCGGAGTTCTTAGTAAGGGGACTTTGTTGTTGTTATGTGTCATGGAGTCGGTTCCGACTCATAGTGACCCTGTACAGGGTTTCCGAGGCTATAAATCTTTACG